AAATTACTTAATTAAATTCTCGTTTCAAATGTTTCTGAAATCTCTTCTCTTATACGCTTAAACTATACATAGTAAATTCCCCTGAATAAGAAATGAAACATTTAACAACTTTCAAAATTCTGAATAAACCCATAGACATCCCCAGAACACGGTATCACAAGTGCGTGAGCTATTTCTAAGAAACCATACAATGCAACATCCGTCTGGAATACAAATTGGACAGAAGGTAAATACAATACACTGAAAGAGACTTTACTAGTTGTGGGTCGCCTCGAGGAAATACAGCTCGCTTAGTCTCCGGGTCGCCCGTGCTGCTACGCCCAATAGGCCAGTAGAAATACGTGTACCTGTGCAACAAAATGCACAGCAAGTGTAGCATGAGTACGAAAACAACGTGTACTCAGCATGTATACCACCTAATCTTGAAGAGGTAGAGACGAGATGGCAACTTCGACACTTACTAATGGTCAAATGATAATATTATTAAAGCGATGACTCACGAATTTATTAAGGACAGCAGTAGATTCAAATGAATTACTAAACAGGTAAAAATTCCTTTTTATAAAAAGCCTCCGGATTCATGATCCATTAATTAACAATTATCTCAAGTCGGGGAGAGCAGATGGCAATATCAATAAATCTCAAGGCAATCAATACAAGCATGCGCAACTCATGCTGAGGTTGTACGACTCGATCCAACATAAATGTAAATTGTCACTGCCGAGGGTCGAGCGGCACGAACCATAGATGCATCTATTACCCCGCTCGCGAATCATACATGCGACACGGTCAAATTTAAATAAACAATCACCTTGCTCGCGTACCATACATGCGACGCAGGTACACATAGAAATACATGCTCAAACAGCAAATTAAGAGTTTATCGGGGAACATTTATCCAAATAAAAGCCAATCCTCTTTTAATGATTTAAGAAAATGAAGTTTAACCATCTTAGAAATTCATTTACCAATTCAATAGGATTTAAGAAATTCAATCGTCAATAAGATCACAAATATTCCAAGTATAGCATGCTTTTCGGTCCTAGACTACCCGGACTTACACATATTAGTAGCTACGCACGGACTCTCGTCACCTCGTGCGTACGTAGCCCCCACAAATAGGAGCACATAACCAATTATTTCACCTATGTGGACAATTATTTCCCCGCCCTTCCGAAGACTCGAATCGATGCTAAATGCTCCAAAGCTAGCCAATAATGATGCAAATCCATTCATATATGCTCAATTACTCATTATAATCCAATTTATAACAATTCCTAACCCCGATCGAAAAGTTGACAAAAATGCCCTCGGGCCCACGTGCCCGGATTCCGAAATTTTTCGAAGAACAAGTTTACCCATAACTAAACAAACTCAATTATATAATTTACTCTCAATTTCATACCCAAAATCGTGGTCAAATTCCAAGAATATCAATTTTCTAGGTTTTCCTCAAACCCCCAAATTTCTACCAATTTTCATGCTAAAATCCATACATACTCGATATATTTAACTCAAGAGGGATGGGATTAGCTTATTTTATCGTTGATGATGAAAATCCCCTCTTGAAAATCCTCCAAGAATCGCCCAAGCGAAGAAAATATGAGAGAAAATTGGCAAATCCCGATTTTTAAAACACTCTCTGCCTCCAGCACTTTCCCCACCTGCGGTCACTTGACCGCTTCTGTGGTTCCGCAGGTGCGAGGCCAATTGCCGCTTCTGCGGTCCGGGCTCCCTTGTCCATTTTCGCTTCTGCGCCCTCTCTTTCGCAGATGCGGTCCCGCATATGCGGCAAAACGACCGCATCTGCGGTCCCAGCTCTCTTCCACCAAATTCCGCATCTGCGATCATTGGGCCGCTTCTGCGGCTCAGCGCCTGCGGCCCTAGTCTCGTAGGTGCAGTTACACCAGCAACCAGCAACTTCAGCTCTTCTTCAAACTCCGAATTCAATCCGTTAACCACCCGGAGTCCACCCGAGGCCCTCGGGACCCCAACCAATCATACCAACCAGTCCCAAAACACATTACGGACTTGCTCGAGACCTCAAATCATATCAAACAGCGCTAAAATCACGAATCGACCTCCAATCCAAGCTTTATGAACTTTAGAATTTCAAACTTCTACTTTCGATGTTTAAACCTATCAAATCACGTCCGATTGACTTCAAATTTTGTGCACAAGTCATATTCGACATTACGGACCTACTCCAACTTTCGGAATCAGATTGCGACCCCGATATCAAAAAGTCCACCTCCGGTCATACCTCTCAAAACCTTCAAATTTCTATCCTTAGCCAAATGGCTCCAAAATGCTCCCTGGACATCCAAATTCACTTTCAATCGCGCTCCCAACTCCAGAATCACCATACGGAGCTAATCCCAGACTCGGAATCCCAAACGGAGATCAATAACACTAAAATGTACATCAACCCAAACTTATGAAATTTCCTCCAAAATGCTAACTTCCACAATAGGCGCCAAAACGCTTCCGGTTCATCCAAAATCCGATCCGGGCATACTCCCAAGTCCGGAATCATTATACGAACCTACTAGAACCTTCAGGTCCCGATTCCGAGGTCGTTTACTCTGAGATCCCATCCTAGTCAATTTTCTCAACTTAAAGCTTACGAAATGAGAATTTCCTCTCTAAGTGAACTCCGAACTTCCCGAAATTTAATTCCGACCATGCGTACAAGTCATAATGCCTGAATTGAAGTTGCTCATGGCCTCTAACGGCTGAACAGCACGCTAGGGCTCAAAAAGACCGGTCGGGTTGTTACAGAAGCCTAATATGGATGAAATAATGTAGAAGTGGGAGACTTTGAAGTGTGATTGGTACAATAACAAATCGATGTCTAATCTTGTGCTTTTGTGGGATCAAATAAAGGCTGATTGGGAGAGAATAAAACCATAGTTTTTTGCCATTGAATCATTCCAGAACATGCTTAACCTGGAACGTAGTTGTGGAGGTTATTCAACCTTGTTTGACAAGGTTGTGCAGCAGTTTGATAGTTTTAAATTTCCCATCGGGGACGAATATTCCAAGCTGCAAAACAACCTAAAGACTCTTCTTTCTCTTATGGATAGAGTAATCGTTGAACAAAGTCAGCTGCGTGATGAATTTAACAAGTTGAAGAATGATCTCGTTGGACTCTGTGGTCTTTTGCCTGAGTACCCTATAGTTATCTCCGATACTGATGATGATGAGATATTTAGAGAAATTGAGGAGTACTATGATGATGATGATGATGGTAATGATGCATAGCGTTTGTAATCCTTTTTTTATGTTTTAATGTTGTGCTGTTTTGTTTACTTCAGCATATTCATTAGAGAATATGCTGAAGTTATTAGGTTCATTTTGTATAACTTCAGCCCATAGACGCTGAAGTTTTTGTTTGTACTTTGTGTGTTGTCGTCATCTCTTTCTGTATCAATGTAATTCTCATCCTCTTTCTTCTTAGCTTTTTGTTGCATTATCCTTGTTATTGTTGGTATTTGCTTTTTGCTTCTAGTCATTTCTGAGTTAATACAATTAGTTGGTTTTTATGTTTAGTTTTTGCAATCATTTTTTATGTTTTTATGCTGTGCTTTTTTGTTTACTTTAGTGAATATGCTGAAGTTATTAAGTTCATTTTCTATAAATTCAGCCTAGAGATGCTGAAGCTTTTGTTTGTACATGCGTTTCTTTTGTGTGCTGTACGCATGTGTGTGTGTGTGTGTGTGTATGTGTTTGTGTGTGTTTGTTAAGGATATGTATTTGACATACTGTAACCTGAAGTTTTTTTTCGTTGAAGTCATTGCGTACTTTTTTAAAATGCAACCAAACCTGTAAGCCTGCGCAACAAAAATGAATGATTTGTACTTTAGCAAAATATAAAATAGTCCAAGAGCTTTTTTTTATTCGTATGAAAAAAATCACATTTTAAATATGTCATACAATAATGAAAGTCTAAATTCATACCAAGGATTATTGAAGGTTGGAGTATTTTTCAGTGTGTTTCTTGGAATATGGATGAGGTGCTGGAGAAGACAAGCAAGTTGTTCTATTATGCCCTACTTGTTTACATCGACTGCATTTTGTAGACTTTAATGGTACTGATTCAGTCATAGGGATATGCCTCTTCTTTTGTCTTCTTCCTTGTAAAATCTCTACATCGGGAGGTTTTGTGATCTCAGATTGTATATTTTGTGGTATATCCCATGATTTTTGATCTCCTATGGTATTCACATGACCTTCATATATTTTCAACCATGTTTCCTTTGAATACCAATTTGAGCAGTAATTAGATTTCTGCAAATATCTCTTATTAATAGCAGCAATTGCGTGTGGACAGGGCAATTCATCAAGTTGGAATTCCAGGTAGTCACAAGTTCTTTTTTTTTAAGTCCACAATGAATTCGATTCCTTCACTATTTATTCTAAACAACATTGAATCAAGGTTGAACACCTAACAAGGAATAAAAAATTAAGAAAAAGTATGAAGTTTTTTCAAAGTAAGCAGTAAATCACTGCAACAGATATAAAAAGCTAAAGTTAACAAATATACTCACAAACATTTTGCAAGCCAATTCCATCTTCTTAGTCATCTCTTCTTCTGCCCATATTGATACTCTGTGAAAAGTTTTATTTGCCTTTTTTCTCCGTTCGTAAAACCACTCTCCCGACTTTTCTTGGATGAAATCTAATATTCTTAAAATAGGCATTTCTCTCCCTTTTAGTAAAACGGAATTCATTAATTCTACCATGTTTGTTGTTAGCATATCATAACGTCGCCGTGGGAACCACGATCGAGCCCATATCTCTAGAGGCTCTTCCATTACGTAATTGTATATTTTCTTGTCAACACTTTTGAGTTGGGACATTAACTGATTAAAATCTTCAAGTTTGTATGACCTTGCAACACTTTGAAAAAGATTTATTACTGTGGCTTTTGCATGTCTTTGCTTTAAATTTTTCTTAAAGTGATAGAGGCAGATACCATGGTGAGCTTCAGGAAAAACTTATCTAATCCCATTTGTGATCGATTGGTTTCTATCTGACAAGAAAACCAGTTCACGACGGACTTGAATTGCTTTCCTCATTTCCACAAAGAACCAAATGTATGCCTCATTGTTTTCTGAATCTGCTACACCAAAACATAGAGGAAAGATTTGATTGTTTGCATCCTTTGATACAACAACAAATAGAACACCACGATATTTTAACTTTAAAAATGTTGCATCTATATCAATAACGGGTCTACAATAGGACCAACCAGCTATTGATGCCGCAGGAGCAAAGAACATGTAAGCAAATCTGTACAATGAAACACAAAAAAACAAATCATAAGGTGTGAAGTTTTTCAAATAGGAACATTTGAAACTTCAGGCTGGTGGTTAGTATTATTTTGCTTACCTATTCTGCCCATCTCTTTTTATGCTTGTGTACGTTCCTGGGTTTTTGCGCACCATCATGTGCGGGTATGAAGGAAGAATCTGGTAGTTCTCTTCAGGTGTTCCCCTTATGTCAATCCCAAATTTCTTTTTCATTTCATTTTTTACAAAGGCTGGTGTAACCTCTATCTTTTTGTCTCGAACATGTTCTATAATTTGTTCACTTATAAAATTTGATGTAGCATGCTTCTGATATGTTTTTCTTGCATCAACCGAGCATTCATGGTTGTTATGATATTTTATCACCCTGAATAATGTGGAATTTTTTATTCTGGTAGCACGTACATTCCAACCACATTTGTCCATGATGCATTTCAGCTCGTATCTCTTTGAACATGATCTAACAATAGTGAATTCAACTTTCTGGTTTATCTCCAAGTTGCAGAAAAATTTAGTCATGTTTTGTTTGTTCTCAAAAATTGATCCGACTCTTACTTCCTCAGGCAACGCATCGTGCCTAAGTATTTTACATGGTGGAGATTCTTTCAGCTTTCTCATCAATCTTTTTCTTGATTTCTGAGAAGCACTAGAAGTTTCAGCAATTTCTTCAATTTTATCTGATATTATCCGTATAAGCTCCATGTTTACTTCATCTTCGTTGTTGCTTATCATTGAATAAGGTAACAAAAAACTTTGTTGGATTGTGTGCTGGTTGTCAATTTGCATTATTAGCTATCCTTCTTCTTCTTGGTCATCGATAAACTGGTATGAATTTATTAGAGGAGCGAGTAATTGTTGCAGCATTATATATTCTGTGACGATCCGACCGGTCGTCTCATGAGTTACTGCTCCATTTTCCCCCATTTCTGCTTCTTTATGCTTTGTTATCTGTGTTTTGGTGGTATCGGGTTGGTCGGATTGGATTCGGATTGGTTTTGGTGAAGTTTGAGACACTTAGTCTCTTTTAAGGAAGTTTAAGTTGGAAAAGTCAATCGGATGTTGACCTATATGTTAGAGGGCTCGGATGTGAGTTCCGATGGTTCGGTTAGCTTCGGGAGGTGATTTATGGCTTAGGAGTGTGATCGGAATGGGTTTTGGAGGTTTTGGAATAGATTTAGGATTGAATTGGCGAAGTTGATATTTTGGCAATTTCCGGTTGATAGGCGAGATTTTGATATAGGGGTCGGAATGGAATTCCGAGAGTTGCAGTAGCTTCGTTATGTGATTTGGGATTTGTGTGCAAAATTTCAGGTTATTCGGACGTGGTTTGGTTGGGGTTTTTATCAAAAGCGGAATTTGGAAGATTTTTAGAAACTTAGGCTTGAATCCGAGGTGTTTTGGTTGATTTAGTGTTGTTTGAAGTGTTTTGATGATTGGAACAAGTTTGAATAAGGTATTGGGATATGTTTGTGCTTTTGGTTGAGTTCCCGGGGGCCTCGGGGTGATTTTGAAGGGTAAATGGAGAAAATTGGATTGTGTTGCAGCTGCTGATGTTGCTGCTTCTGATATTTTCGCACCTGCGGTTTGGGGACCGCAGGTGCGGCGTCGCATATGCGATAGGATGGCCGCAGATGCGGATTTGAAGGGAGGAGTTAGAAACCGCAGATGCGGTAGAAGGACCGCACCTGCGGAGCCGCAGATGCGGCGAGTGGACCGCAGATGTGGTAATTGGTCCGTTAAGTGATTTCCGCAGATCCGGAGGAAAGACCGCAGATGCGGTACCGCAGAAGCGGGTATTGTGTCGCAGATGCAAAAAGGAATGGGCAGAACATATAAGTTATTTCATTACGCGAGTTTGAGCTATTCCACCTTTTTTAACTTCGGCTTGAGAGCTTTTGGACGATTTGGAAGAGGGATTTCAAGGGAACTTCGTTAGGGTAAGGATTTTGGACCTATAACACAATTCTATGTAGTATTTCATGAATTTAGGGCTGTATCTAAAGGAATTAAAGGGCAAAAATGGAGGATTAGGGCTTGAGTTTAAGAGGCCTTCAAATGGGGATTTGAGGGGTCATTTGGACTCCGATTTTAGTATTTTTGATATGTTTGAACTTATGGGGAGATAAGGAACCCGTTGGTGTTAAAATTTTTGAATTTCGAGACGTGGGCCTGGGGGTCGGGTTTTGGTAATTTCGGGATTTGTGCCCGTTATTGATTGTTTTTGCTTGGGCTTTGTTACCTTGGCATATTTTGACGTGCTCGTTCTAATTTTGGATAGATTCGACGTGCGTGGAGGCCAATTCGAGGGGCAAAGGCGTCGCGAGCTAGAGATTTAGCCGGTTCGAGGTGAGTAATGATTATAAATGATGTCCTGAGGGTTTGAAACCCCGGATTTGCACATCGTAGTGCTATGCTGAGGTGAGACACACGCTTGTTGACGAGCGTGGGATCGTACACTATTGGGGATTGTGACTTGGTCTATCCCGGTTGATGATTTTACTGTGTATTTGACTGAAACTTATTTGCTATCATTATGAGTTGGGCTGAATGCCATATTTGGGCTTCGTGCCAACTATTTGAACCCTTCGGGGCTTTTTATTGATATTTCCTCACTGTTTGACTTACTACTTGAACTCAGTCATGTTATTTTCCACTATTTTACTACTCAGCCATTTTACTCAGTTTTGAGACTTAAATGATATTTTAAATGATGTTTTTTAAGTTGAGAAACACTGTTTTACTATTGCCCGAGGGGCTTGGGAGTATTTTTGACTGAGTAAGGCCGAGGGCCTATGTTGTGAGGAAACACTGATACTGATTTGAGGCCGAGCACCCAAGATATGTTCGCCACGAGGTGGCTTGATTGATATGAGGCCGAGGGCCTAGTTTTGATGCCACGAGATGGCTTGTTATTGCGCTTGGGCCGTAAGGGGCCCCTCCAGGAGTCTGCACACCCCTTGTGAGCGCGGGTACCCATTGTGATGTGTGATTGAGCCCGAAGGGCTGTTATTGTTCTGAGATGTTGCCCGAGGGGCGGATGTGGTGATACTGTGCCCGAGGGGCGAGCTTCTATTTATTTACTGTACCTTAATTGTCTGTCAATTACCTGTTCACTTGTTGAAAGAGGATTTCACTTGTCTTTTCACTGGTTTACTTCTTTTAAATAATTTTACTTCTTCATTATAGAATGCCTTGTGCCTTGCGTGTTTTCTTACTTTCAGTCATTATTTACATTTGTTACTCACTGAGTTGGAGTACTCACTTTACTCCTTGCGCCCTGTGTGCAGATTCAGGCGCATAAGGTCCCGCTCCCGAGTGCTGATTCCTCCAGATTCAGGCGAGCTTTCGAAGATTTCGAGGTAGCTGTTGACGTCCGCAGCCCCGTGTCTCTACTCCTTTATCATCTCTATTTCCTTTCAGACATTGTACTAGTTATGGATTTATCAGAATTCTATTATGACACTTAGATGCTCATGACTAGTGACACCCCGGTTAGGGCTGTGTATGGGTGATTCTTCTGCGTATTTATGTTATTATCAGTTATTTCAAGTTGTTTTTATCATGTTTAAACTGTTCTTAAATGCTTATCGGTTAAAAATTGGAAAATGGGAAGTGTCGGCTGACCTTGTCTTCACGAGAGGCGCCATCACGACCGGGTTTGGGGTTAGGGTCGTGACAAGTTGGTATCAGAGCCTAGGTTACATAGGTCTCACGAGTCATGAGCAAGTTTAGTAGAGTCTCGCGGATCGGTACGGAGACGTCTGTATTTATCCTCGAGAGGCTGCAGAACCTTTAGGAAAACTTCACATTCTTGAACTTCTTGTCATATGAATTTGTTGATCCGAGTACTAAACTTTTGTTAACCATTCTGTCACAGATGGTGAGGACACGCGCTATCGGACAGGATGGTCGATCACCAATGCCACCAGCTGCGGCCACTAGAGGCCGAGGATGCGGCCGTAGCCGTGGTAGAGGCAGAGCAGCGAGGGCAGCACCTGCAGATCTACCAGCTTCCCCAGTTCAGGACTAGGTCCCAGCTGTGGACCCTCCAGCAGCACCAGCTCAGGCACCAGCTGTGCCTATTGTGATTCCGGGTCTTCAGGAGGCCTTGGCTCAGATCTTATCAGTTTTCACTGGCCTACCTCAGGCGGTTTCAGCCACTACAGCCGCAGCTACTTCACAGGCCGGAAGAGGCAGTCAGACTCCCGCCGCCCGCAGACCTGAGCAAGTCGTGCAGGGACTTCAGACGCTGGGGGCACATCCAGCCCAGCCGGTCGCAGCTTCTCAGGACTATGTAGTTCCTGTCATGCTAGAGGATGAGAAGCGTAGGTTGGAGAGATTTGGGAGACTTCAGCCTCCGACCTTCGGCGGAGTAGAGGGCGAGGATGCCCAGGGCTTTTTGGACAAGTGTCAGAGGATGCTTCCAACAGCCGGTATTCTGGAGACCAGCGGGGTCGCTTTCACTACCTATCAGTTTTCAGGACCTGCTTTTACTTGGTGGGAGGATTTTGAGAGGCATAAGCTTGTTGTTGCAGCACCCTTTTTCTGGCAGCAGTTCTCCGTTCTCTTTCTGGAGAAGTATGTACCGCAGTCTCGCAGAGAGGAGCTGTATAGACAGTTTGAGTGGTTGCGTCAGGGGGAGATGACCGTGTCGCAGTATGAGTTGAGGTTCTCTGTGTTGGCTCGTCATGCCATCTAGTTGGTCCCGACAGATCGAGAGAGGATCAGGAGGTTTGTCGATGGTCTTACTTATCAGCTCCGTATTCTTATGACCAGGGAGAGGGTGACTGGTGCTACATTCGAGGAGGTTGTGGATATTGCCAGGGAGATTGAGTCTGTCTGTCGCCAGGAGCGAGAGGAGAGGGAGGCCAAGAGGCCTCGAGGGTCTGGTAGCTACAGTGGTGGTCCTTCGAGGGGCCAGTTTCAGCACGG